TGATGCTCCCTCCATTCTCCAAGAACTAAATAGGATTCATTGTTAATATCAAACACTTTTATTCTGGATTCATACAAAGATTTCAAACCCATCCCTCCTTCCTCTGTTTCTTCAATGCTGTGTTCTTCTAGACTGGGGTTGGTGATCTTCCCACTCCAACCCCATGAGAGACTGGGGCAATAGGGGCAAATAGCCCACCTGACTCTAATGCATCACTCCCATAGATTGAGCCAGTAAGACAGCATTGAGGACATCTTTCTTTCAACAAGGCTGGTCAGTATAGATATAAAATTTGGTGATGGTTTCTGAGAGGTCGCTATAACCCCATGATAAAGGTCAAGACTTCTGAGTTTTCCTGTTCTGGCCTGAGCCGCTGTCAGAGTCATCCAGCAAGAGCGCCAAGTAACTTTTGGCTTCTAATGCTGCTTCTGCTATGGTAGTTGCTGTAGCTGCTTTTCCCCAAGCTTGCTGTTTTCCAGGTTATCCAGGATTCAAGCTGACCACTGTACATGGAATGGAGAGGGCTGCCATTTGTGCTTTTGCCTCAGGTAGAAAAACTCCTTGGGTTACCCTGCTGATGCCATGCTTTATATATTTAATTTACAACAGGTTTGTACTTCTGACTTTTTTTCAACTACTTAGGTTGGCTCTCAGGAGCTCATCCCATTTTGTCTTCAGGACAGTGGTGCAAGGTAGGGTTTGGTTTACACTGTAACATGTTCATAGCTACACAGTGAGCTTCTGGCTTGAGCTGGGATTTGAAACTATGACTGAATTTGCACAGTAGAAATAATGCAGTTTGACACCACTTTAACTCAGTTTATGGAATCCCAGGATTTGTAGTTTGTTGTGGCACCGAGCTCTCAGACAGAGAAGGTTAAATATCTCACAAAACTACAAATTCCAAAATTCCATAGCACTGAGCCATGGCCATTAAAGCAGTGTCAAACTGCATTATTTCTGCAGTGCAGATTCTCTCAGATCCATTGCAATGGGGTATCTTGTTGTTTATTTCCAAATAGTTGTAGGTAGCAAGTATGTATAGAATTACAGCTTAAACGGCTTTACTTTGTTTTTGAGAGAAAGAATCCAATATGAAATGGCCTAGTGTTGAAAAGTATTTCCTATAAAATGAAGTATTCTCCCATGTATGGGCCATCTATAGGCCCAAGAATGTTACATTTTGGATCTAGCATATTCCTATTTCATCTAATATATGGAAAAATAATTCAAGGGTTAATGTGGGAAATGTAACACTGTTCTTCCATTTGTTGTTGTTGTTGAAGCAAAATGGATTTCATAATAAATTTCATATAGAGTCATAAAATTATAATTGCACCATACATTGTGTTGTTCATTTCTCCCTTCGTTACATGCTGTGTGCATAAAAAGAAACTATAGCTATGTGGTATAGTAGGGGAAAATATAAATTGAGTTATGAAATTATCAAGCTGTGTCTAAACAGAACCATATTGCAGAATGGAAATGTGAAATGAAACCAGAATGTTGAAGTAGGGTGGAATCTCAGAAGAATAACAGCATAGATCTTGGAATATAAAGAAAACAAAAACCATCTAACTTAATTTCCATGTATTTATTTGTTTAAACTGAAATATATATATTTCCATGTGTGTGTGTGTAATTCAGGTTTGTTTTTAAAAAGTCTAGCAAGGGAAAATCCAGCATATTGTGCTTTGAGTTGAAGATAGTTTGAGTGAAGATTCTTAATCTAAACTGCAAAAAATATAAATAAAATTTAAAATGGTATAATTTACTACTGTAGTAGACATTACTGTGCATTGTTTGACTGGACCTGAGTATGGCACTCTGCTGATGGAACTGGAAAAGGGGTGGGAAACAACAGCTCCCCTGCATTTCCCTCTACATCCTGAATATTTGGGGTATTGGGAAACCCACGGGGACAGAGTTTTTGTTGATGCATATGGCTGTAATAGGAAGAGGAAGAGAACAGGGGAAGAAAGACTTCTACTAGGACCCCATTAGACTTAAGCCATAAATACAAATCTTGCTGCATGTTATATATACAAAATGAGAAAAGCTATGTGGGACATTACCAGAAGAATCAATTTTGTAACAAGATTTTGTGTGGGTCCATGCACCACACAGAGAAAAGCATGGATTCCATTTGTATTTTCGGGACCACCTTCTGTATTTTAGCTGCAGAAGCCTCTCTTTCCTGGCCACTTAGTGACTACTGGAGAGCAAGAGACATTGGAAAAACATCTGGCTCTGTTTCTATAGGCAGATGTAAGTTAAACTTATATCATTGTAAGTCACTAACAGGATCCAGGAAACTTTTCTCAAAATATATTTACTGATAAAATTTCTATGATTCTTTTCCTTTTATCATCCCTAAAAGAAAGGTGATTTTTGCAGACTATATGTTTGTGTGTGTGATCATATATGTGTATGTATATAATCTAGATAAACATTCTCTATTACATTTTTCTCATGGCTAAAGTTCTGTCCACAATGCCTGGGGCTTTGTGGAGGATAGAAAATGGAGAACAGTTTACCAGTATAGTTGTTCCTGCAATCATTTGTAGGAACAGCAGCAAAGAAAACAAGACCTTAATGGACATAAAGTAAGAAGCTGTGCTACTGTCTCTGCAAGTACTGGGAACTGATCCTGTCTCTTGAGATATTGGGTGAAATGGTCCTTGCAGTTTCTCTGACCACATATCAGATGCAGATTTTTCAGAGGTTATTTGCATGCAGCTCCAGATTTTTCATGTATCTTTCTCAACAAGTCCTTTGAAGAAGAAAAATGCTACATATTTGGAACCATAGCTCTCCATAAACTTGATTAACTTCTGGCCTAAAGGGTTTTTTTTTATAAAGCCATCACAGAATACAATACAACATCTTGTTTGTGGTCTCTGCAATGCCAGGTATCCACATCCATTCCCAGATGTTGTCAGGCCTGATGTTTTCCATTTGTGTTTAGAGCAGAGGTGTATATTGTGCAGTTCACAGGTATTATATATCATCGGATGCATATAGTCCTCCTCCAGACTGCAATTAAAAATATTTTGGCCAAAATATTTCATCTTTGGGGTTGAAAATAGACCCCAGGGATGTGTTTTGGCCCAAATAGGAAGTGTATGTACAATGATTGGCTGAATGTTTGGAGGGATTTTTAAAAGGAAGGTGTTTATAACAGAGTGGGAGTTCCATCTGCCATGGTTAGGATATGAGTCTGTCAGAGTTGGATTTAGGAGTTAGAATTAGATGTTAGGAGAGTTACAATCAGGGGAGAAATAGATATTAGTTAGAGTCAGGGTCAAAATTAGGATATGAATGTGAGAGAGTTAGAGATGTGAGTTAGAGTTAATGTCAAAGATTTGGATGTACATATTAATTAAGGAATCTTTGATGTCTTAAGGGGGGGAGGGAAAATGTCTGTTTTACGCTGTATGTTATTTTATGCTGTAAACTGCCTGGATTGGGTTACCAATGGGCGGTATATAAATAAAATTTATTATTATTATTATTATTAGTCATGTTCAATTCTGTTTAAATTTTTTATTATACACTGGTACCATCAATTAATCCAGGGTGGTGGTATCTGGTGGAGATATTGGACGATTAAGACCTCTTACAGGAACTATGAGGGCATCTAAAGAGTCCCCACATTTGATGCCATAGTGGTGGGACAGGAAAAGGTCTTCACCTTGGTTGCAGAGGTGGGGATGAGTGGAAGTTCACAGATTTTCTGGCAGTGGCTGGGATAAATGGAAGCCCCTGCAAACACTTGTTTCTGCCTATGGCTTGTCTCTGCCTATGGATGTTCTCCCACTAAATTCATGTGACGGATAATCCAAAAGTGCAGTAAACAATGACCAGTATCATTGTTTAAGAGAGGCTTTCCTAATCTGAAGCAAGACATGCATCTGAGATGTGATGCAAAACATGTTCCAGTGTTGTCTGCATGAGAGATACAAAATAGACCATGTGATACCATGTATTAGCCAATGTTCTTTGAATTTGTGGAACTCTCCATATAGTAGAACCTTGGTATTTGGGGATTGTAACAATCCCATATAGTTTCCTTTCCTACTGTTATAAAAAAGGGCAGTTACACAGAAAGCTCACATGTAGGTCTCTTTAGGTCTACAACTGCCTAAACAATCACTTCTGTAAGATAACACCATAAGCCACCAGAGTTGTTCATGGATGTTGTGGTCAAATAAAGGTTTCACCACCATGCTGGACAGAGCTCTAAATTATATAAAGAACTTTGCTTTTTATCTGGTTTCTGGAAAGAAATATTACAATATTAATCTACCATTTCATTTCAAGGAAGGAGAAAGATGGGAATGTTATCCAACTGTTTTTTTTTTTTTTCATTTCTCAAATCCTATCTCCCCAGTTTATTGATCTGGATAAGATGGAAAGTGTTCTGAACTTTTTAAAAAAGAGCCAAAACTGAATGATGAGGTTTGGCAGAACAGAAACTCAAACAACTCTATTATCCATGTCCATTATAGTGATGTAACCAAGCCCCAAGCCTTTTATCTCAAGCCTTCATCCTCTCATGGACGTTTGTGGTTGGAAACTGGAGGGAAGCCATCCGTGATAATAATAATAATACACATCCAAACCAAAGCTATAATGTTTTCCTCTTCTGTCTCAGCAAAGTCATGATGTTAGGGATGTTTACTATGCAAGCCTATACATATCTACTCAGAATAAGCCCCACTCTATTGAGTGGGGCTTACTGTCAGGTGAATGTATATAGGATGGCATCATAAGAACATCTGTCAGAACTGGATAATTTTTAATGCCCTGGGACATGTAAACATTGGAATGTTGTTGTTGTTTTTGTTGTTGTTGTTGTGTGCCTTGAAATTGTTTCTGACTTATGGCCAATCCTATCAAGGGGTTTTCTTAGCAAGATTGTTTCAGAAGGGTTTTTCCTTTGCCTCTCTCTGAGACTGAGAAAATGTGACTTTCCCAAGGTTACTAGTAGGCTTCTGTGGCCAAGTGGGGGTTTGAACCCTGGTCTCCAGAATTATAGTCCAGTGAGCAAATCACTGCACCACACTGGCTCTTGAATGGAATTATCAATGACAAATTAGATGAAATGTCTTAAAGAAAGTTCCTAAGGGATCTTTCCAAGGGAACTTCGGGGGGGAGGGGAAGGGAGGGGGAGATAGAATTGCAAGTAATTGCAAATATGTGACTTATGTGAGATTTATTTGGTTTGTTGTTTTTAGTATTCTTTAGTGTTATTTGGTTTGTTGTTTTAATTTTTTTTTGTCTAAATATTTCAAAATTTAGCATTGCTTTGATCTCAACCTCAAACATTTAGATGTACTGATTCTGTGTTGGATTATGGCCCTTGAGTATTTTGTGGAAAATCAATAGAAAGATGGAAAGAGAGAAAGAACAAGGGTTGTTTAGTGTTGCAATATAGGATAAAAGGAAAGCTGGCATGGAATCATTAGAATTGTTCCAGCATATACATTAGGAATTGCCATTGGTTTCCAGACTACAAAATCATTGTATCCCCTATTCCTATTCCTATGGAAAGTTTATAATGAGTATCCATTTGTGTCCCATTTCCTTGCCTGGACTAGTAGACTTGGAGTAGGTTTGTAATCTTTGGGCTTAAAAAATTGTTTCAAAATATTTTCCCCTTACTCCTTCTGTAATTGCACACACACATTTTTGTCTCTGTCTTTGTTATGTCCCCAACTTTCCTTCTTTTTCTCTGTTGCTCTAACCCCTGTTACAGCAACACTTCAGCATTCTTAGAAAGGAAATGGAGATATACTGGATGTTATCCTGGGTATTAAATATAAAGCTCCCCAAATATGTGAGAGCTACAATTGTGATAGACTTATCATCAGATTAGTTTCTTTGTTAATTGGACTTTGTAGTCCTAAAGCTGATTGTATCAGTAGGTGGGTGCTGTTTAAGTTACAGTGGTAAGTGATTGAATGTGATGTATTTTTTTTTCTGAGCCACCTTCAGTGCTACTTGAATTGTACAGTTGGATTGCATTATTATGCAATTTATTTCTTAGATGTATTCCATTGAAGAACAAATAGCTGTACTTCTACCTCATAACTTAGAAGAACAGGTTTCTGGTCTAAAGCAGAATGCTTGGGCAGAACCTGCTTGACTTATAAACTTATTAGCATATCCAAAAATAAGTGGATTATCATCAGACATATCAATGGCTCTCTTATTTATTGTAAGAAGCCAGGCTTAAGTCATAATGATAGCTTTAAAAAACCAAGTGGTGGGGGGAGTGAGCAACATGAAAGCTGGATACCAGATGTTCAGCATCTTTGAGAAATAAAAGTTGATCCTGCCCCACCTTTAACTGGATGATATAGTAGCCTGTACTCAGTATAAAATCACTTGTACTTTTATGAAGTCATTTTGTACTTAGCCAGTAATAATATCCCATATTTCCCCATCATCATATAATCTGTTTGCCTTCTTTATCCAAACTAAATTTATTGCTAGTAAAAATTTTTTTAAAAGCAAAGATGTTACATTATTGGTGAATCTTATCTTTCCTAAATTTTTATCCACTT